ATATCAAAGTCAAGCCAACGCATCACGCGAAGATGAGCTAATTTGATGAACCTCCAGGAGACAACAAAACCGGAGAAGCACCGTAATCACAAGGGAATGTCATGGCCGACGGCGGCGATCTTCATTGTTGGCGATATGATGGGTGGAGGAATGATTGCATTGCCTATCGCTCTTGTAAATGCCGGTTCGTTCAGAGTACATTTCTTTTGGAGTGGCTGACAAAAGTAGTTTTGTTCGCTGCGAATGGGGGTGTTAGTGAGGCTGGGTTTGCCCGCTGCCAGCGCCAAACCACAACTGGCTCACTTGAACAAAAGGGACTTCTAGCAGAAGAGAATCCTTTTGTTAAAGAATAAAATATTCTTGTCAATGAACAAAACCTTTTTTCAAGTCTGAACCTTGCAGGGCTGATCCCCGGCATTACGATCATCATCCTTGGGGCCATCTTTACTGGATACACAGGTGTGCAACTCGGAGACAACTGGACACTCATGCAGGTTTGAAATGTTGAAGGGAATTCTATATGTGGAAATTTTATGATTTTCCAGAAACGATGGCCAGAATACAAAAGTCACTGCAGGCGGCCGTATCCAGAAATGGCTTACAGAGCCATGGGCACCAAAGCAAAGTAGGAAATTTTTTTAGGCTTATGTGAAATCCAAGTTGTTATCGTCGCAATCAGTCGGGGAGGGCTGGTTTAGGAAGGATGGAATGACCTACCAACAGCGTTTTCACCGCTGGTTCATTTCTTCCTAGATTGATCACTAAACGATTACCATTGGTAGAGGAGGGCAGCCGGAAGCGGGCTCATTCCGCCTTCTCGACGCTGCCCTGAGTGATGGCGATGTTATCCGGTATGACTCCTGCACAATATACACCTTATGGAGAGCCCCGCCCCAGAGCGCCACGCCCCTTTTCACCGGGAACATTGTTTGCGCACATTATAGCCTATAAATACTAGCTGCACTAGTTTTTCACATTTCCACCATATCAAACATATAAACTTTCGTTCACTGCTACACTTGGCTCCACCCCCGACGACTCCGCCCATTTATCTGGAGCATTTACTGATACTTTTTGCGGATGTTTTCTCATTTTTTGACATCTTGCCAAAATACCCACTTTCTTACACCAGATGATTAAGGCGGATAGTGGCGTTCTGCTTGTGTGTGACCCAATTCGGCATTTGCACAGTGCTAATGCTTCTGGCTGCAAACAATTTCTCGAATTTATTGGCAGCGGTCGGCTTCGCGGTCAACTTCTGCTATGTTATTCTTCTGATAGGAGCTGTACTGTGGCCTTTTGTGATGCTGAAAAGTCCAATGGACTTTTGGTAAGCGTCTTTGGTTTCATTGCCCCCTCCCCTCGTTCTACAAGATTCCATTCCAGGCAGGGTGCTGTCGGTGCTGCCGCGTCAAGTACCGTGGCAGCAATATTGATCGTCGCCGGGTCCATCCATGATGCCCCAGTCTGTCAGCAGGTAGTGGCTTCTGATTTTTCTTCTGTTTGTCCCATATCTGAGGACAAAAAGTGGCTTTTCAAAGTACACTCTACATCACGGGGGGGGGGTGGGCGTGGCTGCACCAGCAATACGCTGCCACGCCTACCGCATCTCAGGTATTTGGATTATACGATTGAGAGTGTCGACGATTGCAAGGGTGCAGATGGGGAATTCGATGATATATCTGAATAGGAGAGTAAAAAGAGGCATGCAAAAACGCAGCAGTCGACAGGCTCGCAACTGCGTGCTTGGAAACGCCTCTTTTGTCTCCCGATATGGACTGCACATAAATCACTACCATTTCAGGTCGTCAGTTATCCGGAGTTTTCGTTCCACAATCTCTTCCTCGCTTATGGGACAATAGCCTTTGCCTATGGTGAGCTCACAAAAAGCAAGTTTTAAATGTTGACGACAAAAACTGCTCATTCAGGGGGACACGGCGCTTTTCCGACGATTCAGCACGATATGACGAAGCCATTCCGTTTCAATCGAGCCGTCTGGGCCAGTTATATTTGTAAGAACTCCTAAACGGATTTTTGTCAAAAGAAGTTCGGCGCAGTACAGCTTGGGAAGGGAGAAGGGGAAATTTCGAACTTTCGTTATTTCCATCGAAGTATTCATTGCTTTACAAAAATTGAAAGTCTTTACAAACCTTGACTAATATCACTTTACGACTTCACAAGATTTCACAATTCATTACTTGATGGTTTGACATGATGATTTGAAGTAAGAAAGGGCGCTGTTTGTCGACGGGGGGCATTTTGTATTATCATTGCTTCCCTAGTTCCGGTTTACAAATCTCACTCTGTAAAACTTGTGAACTCTTGTGAAGCTGGAGCAAGATCGTCTAGCCACCATCGTAAAACGTGTCAACTCGAGAAAAGGCTACCTAGATAGGTCGGCACATCTATGGAAAGCACAATGCCCCCGTCGACAAACTGCGCCCAGAGAAAGTGCAAAATGCCCTCCCCCTAAGCTGAACTGCGCCAAACTACATAGCCATCCATGTTCCACGGTTATTTTATACGACAACCTTTCAGTCATCCTTATCGTGTACATTATCGTGTCATCGACAGGCTACGCTGTATACGGTGACAGCATGAGGAATACTGTTATCCCTTCTCTCCAGGTCAGTTACACTTCTAACTGAGTGAGGTTTATTCCACAGCATAGAAGGCACGAGAAGTCAGTTCGAAAGGAATCAGACTCATGGTGGGCAAAGATTCCCTTAGTCTACCGCAGACTTCGAATTGTAATGTCAAGGGCACGTTCAGCCGTTGGAAAATTTTTCAAAAGTTCTCTATCTGGCACGACCCCCTCTACATCCCCCATTCCACCTACCATCGTCCCAAAGTTTTCCAACTTCCCTTGGTTTTCCCGAGTATACTCTATCTTTTCTCGGAAAAACCGAGCAAAGTCAACAGGTTTCCTTTCTCTTCTTCACCTATATTCTCTTTGCCCTACGCCCCACTTCAGCCTATTCAGATTCAGCGCGATTCAGGTTTTCGTAAGATTTCACGTTCCCAAACGCAATGTAGGCAGTATATTCCAGATTGGGTGGCTCTCACAGTTAGTGAATGTGATGATCACGGTTCATGTGCTGCCAACGGTGGTGATAGTTTTCTCTCCATTGGCTCAGCAAGTTGAGGAGTGGACTGGCGTACCGCAACGACGTGAGTTTCTTTGAGCATTACGGGGACGGGGGGAATCTCATGTATTTGAAGCCGAACGCTTTCATTACAGACTTCAGTGCGCATCGGTTTGCTATGCGCTCGCTGCTCCTCCTCGGGATCATTTTCACCGCCGAGTCAATACCTCATTTTGGAGTGTTCTTGGATCTGGCGAGTTTCATAGCGTTGAAGGCCCAGTCCACAGTGTTCGTTTGGGCGGAGAGAGTTAATCATCGCTCCATGGCACGGCAGCCACTGGCACGGTGCTCTTTGTTATTGTGAGAGCACCAATAACTTGGCTGACGCACCAATGATGGTTGGCTTTTCTTGCTCATGTCTCCGCCCATACGACCACCGTGAACTGCGTCTTTGTGTTTGCCTCGAACAAAGGGCTTCTATAATTTACCGTTTTTTTTAACAAGAAGTCAATATATCTTTCAGGTTGGTGGCTCAACGATCACCTTGATGACTATGCTGCTGCCCAGCGTCTTCTACCTGTTCCTCTTTGCATCTCATAAGAAACGCAAGGATCTCATCAACACGATGCAAATCTCACCTGATTCACCTGATGACCAACTCGCTGGACTAGCAGAGTAAGATCTCCTTTGAAATTTCATAGGATTAAGGCCTTTATTAGGAAAGTAACAGAAGAATGACGACCGGTACCTGCGAATGAATGCGTCAACGCACGCGCGTCATCGCGAAGTCTGAACTCTAATTAAGAAGTAAAAAAAGTGAACTTCTAAAAACTTTTTTTCCAGCATATGGCGATACACATCCAAACCTGTACTGCTCTTCAATGCCGTCTCTTTCGGTGGGCAAAGCAATAACCTCAAAATAAATTTACAATGAGCTCGATTTTTGCAGTATTTGGCCTGATTGGCGGTATCGCGGCTT